CATTTTGCTAAGCAAAACAAACGTATACATATATATATATATATATACACACATACATGTGTCGATGAAGAATAAGAATTATCAATCACACCCGCAAGATAAATGATCATATATTTTCTTCCATGTCTCTATCTTCGTTATTCTTTTTTTTTTACGTTGTAATTTTTATCATATTCTACTTTATTTTTCTTATTAATATTGTTTATCATATTTTGATTTAGAATAAGAGCATACATAAAAAATAAAAATATTCCATATAAACTAAAAATAAGATTTTCTTTGTAATAATGACGAAACAAAATTCTCAGTTATATTCATACGTATCTTATTAATTATGCTGATCACATTTGTTTTCATATTCTCTTTATTTTTTGATTTATCATTTACATTTAGTCGTAGAATAAAAATTCAAATCAATATTGTTGTTTGCTATTTATTATATTCAATGCGACAAATTTTTCATATTTTTATTCAAAAAAGAAATCTACTGGAAACTATCCAACAACATCTCATTAAAATCACTCTCAAGATTATTTCATTCATCAAACGTTTTTATAGATAAAATTTCCATTATAAATATATTATTTCTTTACAATTTATTGTCCAAAATAAAATAATTCATTACAAACCAAAACAAAAAAGTAGAAATATTACAATAATACATTATCGATGAAATACGAACATCAATTAGACCAACCGCTTTCGATATATATATATATATATCGAAAGTTATATAAATATTATTTATGAAACACTCTCAAGATTTTATTCCCCAGCCAAATCATATAAAAATCAAATGAAATAATTAAATTGAATGAAAAAAATATCTAATCAACTAGGAATTAAAAGCTAACATACAACCGTACTCTTTTCTTACATCAACTAATTCAAAAACGTACGCGTAACATCATGTATTCTTTTTCAAAATAAAAAAGAAACAAATTCAAAATCAAAGTCGAGCATTCGAATAACATCATACAATGATATAAAAGTTAAATGACATATCTCTTTACAATCGATAAACAATATATAGATGACAATTTAATGAGATAAATTCAAGTAGTTTCAATTGGAAATAGATTCAATCTAAACAAAACGAATATATAAAAGTAGAAAACAAAAATCCTTAACTATAGATAAACTATGGATATGAAATCAAACAGAATAATATTTCGAAGCAATCGGTTTTAAGCCACAATTACATAGCAATAACAAATATTCCAAAATTAAATTAAAGTTTCCAGATAGCACATCGATGAAATAATAAAACGTTCATTCTCTTGACGGTGTACATTCGATTTTATTATTTATCTAAATAAAAATAAGAAAACAATATAAAAATACTGAATTCTTCAATGAATACTGATACCCTAATCCCTCATCAGCCGTACTCACATGTATATGATGTACAACCAAAAAAGAAATTATTGCTTCTTTCAATTTAATTTTTATTTTCTCTTTCAAAATAAATATCAATCAAATAGCTGAAGCAGAATCTTCACTAGAAAAAAAAACAAAAGCATTGACTATAACATATACTTCTTTATTCAAGAAAGTATATTATACGATTTCATACTATAATGTTTTTCCTTTTAATACTGCAGTTTAACATTGAAATAAATTTCTTTCTATTTAACTTGATCAACATTTTTCTTGTTCATCATTTCTAAAAACTTACGCACATATATACATATGTGTGCCGATGAAGAATAAGAAAATCAATTGAAGATGCATGCATGTATATATATAACAACCATAATAATCATGAGCGTATTTTACTTCGCTTTTCTTATTACTATTGTTTTTCATATTTTTATTTAGAATAAGAGCATAGTTATATACAAGATAAATATTCAATATATAAGCTAAAAACAAGATTTTATCTAATAATCGAATCAAAATTCTAAGTTATATTCATACACGTACATCCTGTGATGTTGATCGCAATTGTTTCTTTTACTATTTACATTTAATCGTAGGATAAAAACTAAAATCAATATCGTTGTTAATTTATCATATTCAATATGACAAATTTTTCATATTTTTATTCAAAAAATCTACTAGAAACTAATCGACAACATCTCACTAAAATAAATCGGTTATTTCAATAATCAAAAGTTTTCATAGATAAAGTTTTCATTATATATTATTTATTGTTCAAAATAAAATAGTTCATAAAAAAAAGACAATATAATACACCCTCAATCGATAAAAAAAGAACATCAGTTAGATGTATCAAACAGCAAATAAAAATGTATGTGCTAGTTACAAATCATGTAGAATCAAATCAATTGAATTGAAATATATATAAGCAACTATGAATAAAAAAACATAGATACAATTTTACTCTTATTTTACATCGACCAATTCAACAACATACGCATAAACATCATCTATTGTCATCGAAAACGAAAAAATAAAATACAACATTCCAATACGAAATAATAATATAAAAGTTAAATGACATATCTCTTTAGAATAAAAATATGAAAAAAAATAGACATCGACAAACAATATATCAAGATTTATTGAGATAAATTAAAGTAGTTACAATTAGAAATAATTCAATCTAAACAAAATGAATATATAGGACCATCTAAAACTCTATAAATATATAAACTATGAATATGAAATCAAACAGAATAATATTTCTAAACATTATCTATAAAAACCCAAAAAACAAATTCTTGGATCATATCAATAAAATTTCCAAAAAAAATAATTTACCAGATAATTATCTTTCTCAGACAAATAAATGAAAACAAAATCAAGAAGAATAAAATTCAACGAAGACATCGCCTAATAATGAATCAGAATTTTTAGCTATCCAATAAATACTTTCTTTTCACGAAAAAAAAGGATGCAAAAATTCAAGAAACGGAATAAAATATATGTGACGATTAAAAATATACTTTCATTGTAAAATTAAAACTGCTTCTGTTATAATAAGACAAAAAAATGCATTAAAGAGAAAAAAAAAGAAGTTCTTCCTCAACATAAGCTGCTACATGCACATCGATATGTATTCAATATCGAATATGAAAATTAATGAAAGATAAAGAAAATAACTGACACCCTCACGAATCGACTCACCAGATACGACTAGCTACCTAATTCGAATTCGAATATAAATCGAGATAACTACACAGACCTCAGCATATGCTCAGCTAAGGATTCCGATTTTGTTTTCGCCTGTATGAGCATGAATACTGATGCCCTAATCGCGCATCGCGCGAACGCTCACCCTCACCGTCAAGAGATAGAGAAGATATTTATAAGATTTTGTTTTGAATTCTTTTGTTTTATTTCAAGATTTAATCAAATCTCAACAAATAAAAAAATGCTTTCAAAGTAGCACAAATCATTCAAGGAAATTCGAAAATTGAACTATTTTAGTAACACTTTCGAGCGATTTCAAAAATATTCATAGTCATCATTGTTTTTTTTGTATGCTCAAAAAGTGAGTACACTAGAATCGGCCAGTGTCCGGCCGTAGGCACGATAACTTTTGAAAGCCTCATCCAATTGTCATGAAATTTTGTACACCGAATGACCTCATCGATATCTCAGTCGAGTTAGAATATGAGAAGGATCCGTCCAGAAATGGCTGAGTTATCGAAAAAATTGTCATTATTGACCAGACCATCCCTGAGGGGGGAGGGTGGTACAGGGATTTTTCAAAAAAAATTTTTTTTCCCAGTATTATTCACAACATATATAAATCGACTCAGCTTTTGCAGTACGCATAACAGTCGGATGCAAATCCGATGTTTCCGCATTTATTTGTTATTTTAATCAGTCATGACCGGTTTCGACCGTTGCTTAAGGGTTGAAATCAGATGACTTTTCATCATTCCGACATGCATAACATCTACCTTTCTATTCAAACTCTTCAACAAATCTAGTAGAATATAAGTGTTCAATTATTCAATTCATATATAAATATGATTAAATAATAGTGGCCACTTTCAAAGCATATATATTATTTTAATTTTATTTAAAGCAGGCATCTGATCAGACCCTTAAGCAACGGCCGAAGCCGATCATGACTGATTAAAATAAAAATAATAAGAAAACAAGAATAGGAAAAATTTCAAAAGAGATTTTCAATAAACTAGAATAAATATGAAATTCATTGAACATCTATATATAGATTGTAGAATTAACATTTTTTTTTATTCAGTTTTTTCTTGTTATTAAAACAATTTATCCATCAATTTATTTCAACAACGCTAGAGTAATAAATCTTTTTTTATGTAACAAATTCGATTCAAATAAAAGGTCGATCATTAATCGTTTGACACAAAAAGGCATTTGTTTATAAAAATTTACTTTTCAATAGTAAATATGTCTATTTTAATGAAATATCTATAACTATCCGATAACAAACGATCGAAAACATATTTTAATTATGTTTTCTGTCACAGATATAAGATGAAGAAATAGAGTTTATCAAGAAAATACGAAAATTAATTCTAATAAGTTATAAATTGATGATATCATCTGTTCTTGAGGGCGTGGGTGTGTTGGCTGTACACGTTTGTGGAAAGAAGACTGACATCCACGCTCCACACTCACACCCACCCTTATACTGAAGGGTTTACCAACGGTTTGTAATCGGTTTCAAGCACATGGGCATTCATAGTTAAATTCGTAAAATAGGGCAAAAGAATTGGATATTGTCGTCATCCCAAAGATAGAGATGGATTGCGATGAGTCATTCACGATTTTACTGGTGATATGATATGTTCGATTTCTTGGTGTTAGTGGAAAAGAAAAATAGCGAAAAGGAAAATAACGAGAAAAAAGAAAAGAAAATATCCATATATGGAAGTTTTCTTTTTCTTTCTTTCGCTATTTTCCACCAAGTTCGATTTCTTCATGGACAGACTGCTTATTGAAGACATCTATTAAACAAAATGACTATGTTAACATTTTTATAGAGAATCAAGAATAGAGATTAGATTCGATTCGTTTTTATTTGATATCTTAAATTTATCATGGACACTAATCAAACCGATAATAAGTTTTCTATAAAAACTGAAATCAATGAAGATTTTGAATTAATGAATTATATGCCAATGCCAATGCCAAATGAAGATCATATTATTGATGAAGTAGATAAGAAAAAATTTCAATAAATATTATTTTTTATATTTATAATTTCAGCATCGTCGTTTTCCTAAAAATAGAAAAACTAAAAAAAATCGTCGTCCTATTCGTAAAGGTTATCGAATGTTACGCCGTATTTGCCGATTTTGTAATGTATGTAATCAATAATGATCTCGATTATTTAAGATTTTATGTGTATATATTCATTAGTGTAAACTTCTTCTTACACCACAACATAAGTTATTTTGTGCTGGCTGTCATCAAATCACTATTGAAAATAGTTAGTTTAGAAAAACAAAACAAAATTTAGTATTTATGCTGGTATATTTTTCTAGAAAAAAATCTTAATAAAAAGAAAATTTTAACACGAAATAAGAAAAAAGATCGTATAAAACGTTCACAACAACAAAAAACAAAAAAAGAACATGTTGAAAATATTAGTAATTGCAATGGACTTGAAACTAAACTTAAATGGGCTGTTGATAAAGTACTATAAATTTTATTTAATTTGTCTGTTTCAATAAAATAATTAATTTTTTTAGTTAATAAAAATTCAAAATCCAGATCGCATTAATAAAATGTGTACGGTTATTATTAAATTAACAGAAACAATAGATATACTGCAGGCACATGAAAGAGTATCTGTAAAAGATTAAATAAAAAACCTGTTTCATATTGTTTTGTTCTTAGTTCATCGTTTTTTTTGTTTTGTTCTGTTTATTGTCTCGTATTAATTGTTGAAAACAAACAGTTTTAGATACATTCATAATCATGGTACACAAAACGTCTGGCAAGAAATCAGAAGAAATATTGGAGAAAATTTTGAATAAAAGATATTAATAAGATCTGCATTAATTCACAAAATTGATTTGCATAATGAACGTAGAGATTATTGAAATCAAATTTTGAATAAAAAAATTCATTTATTGATATAATAGATTTTGATATTGAAGGAGAGTGGGTGGTATTCCGACTCCGAATGACTCTGAAATTTTTTCTCGTAAATTAGCGACAACTTACGTGTGTGGTGATATTATGTAATTTGAATAGATAGATATGCTGAATTCTAGACCGAAAATAAAATCTGACTGAATTTCAATCTTTGTTTTGTCGAACAAAGATACTTGCAGTAAGTTCCAAGTTCTTATCACGAGAAAAAATTCTAAATTTCATTAAAAATGGAGATTAGTCTGTTAAATTAGTACCTAAAAAAAGAAACCAAATTCAAGTAAAGTTTGGGATCATTTCCACCAAGTTTTATCCAGTTTCAATGATATCAGAAGATTCAAGTGAAACAGTTGTTAAAAAAGCGCGTGAAGATGATGAAAACATATCAAATGTCGAAATTGAAGATATTGAGGGTTACTGATTTTGTTTTTCGAAATAGGCATTTTTAAAAGTTAATTTGGTGTAGCTGTTTTTTTTTCTGTTTCTATTTGATGTAGAGTAAGGTGTGGCTTCGGATACAGCCGCATTCGTGTTAACAGTATAAGACGCTTGTAGACTTTTGTTGAGCCGAATAAATCCGCGAGGGAGAAACAACAAAGACTTCGGTTGTGAAGTTTCATGAAGCCTTGAAGTCGCCTGTTCCTCCCTCGTAGATTTTAGTAGATTCTTTAAATAAATCTCTTGTATAAAATGAAGAAATTTTGAATTATTCTGTAATTCATCTGTGCCATGAACTCAAGTTTCATCTCATAAATTGAATATATTGCTAGAAAACAGATGTTGCCGAGTTAATTTCAAGGATGATATAGGGGTGAGTGAGAATGTGAGAGTTATTTATTACACCAACACCCAAACTCAAACTCGTACTCACACCCAACGTGATAGTAAAGGAAGTGACAATATTGATATCACTATTTTCTTTCACAGATCTGAAGAAGAAAAAACAGTAAAATGACATCCTGCTGCTCATGGGTACACGTATAACACGCATAATACAGCTAGCACATGAGGTTCGTTTGTCAGCCTATAGAAAATGCATACAGAATAAAAGAAATTCAGTCACATTAAAGGTAGTTAGATCAATAAGTGAAACGTTATCAATTGAGACTGAGCTTCTATCATAGGGTGGAGCTATATTCTGTAGGGGGTATAATTTACTCTTACAAATCAGAAATCCTTCCAGTGTGGCACACATGAACAAAATATTGATATTGGTTTCAACTTATTGTAGTTTGTGCTGAATATGAGTGCTATATCTTAACATGTTGATCTTGTGAACGGTCATCCATTAATGTCTTGCTATTAATTTCCAACTATTTTCTCATTCTCTTGCAGATATCAATCCAAGTACGATCGTTTTTTCATGAATGACATATTCACTTTGTTTATTTAAACATTTCAAAAATTACCTTAATCACAAACAAAGGAATTCCATAATAAAAATGATGCCAATCGATAGATCTCAATATCAATTTTTGAAATTGACCATTACCAGTAAAAATTCCTCGGCCTTGACATGTTGTATCTTTATACGAATGTGGAAAATGGAGGATACTACATGCCATTGTGTGACTGTTATCGCAAACAAAGCAATCATGTTCACCGGCAAATGTTGGGCCATAGTCTCTATGGCAGTAAATAGAATACTTGTTATACGAGTTTTCATATTTTTGTAGGAGGAATACCAAGTGGATTTGTTACAGTAAACAAAAACGGATGATAATTATCTACAGCATATGTACCGGTCGAATTGCACGAAACTGATGTATAACTTGCAAACAAATATTGATTATCTTTCGACTGAATGACAGTAATAGTAGAACCTTGATTATCAGAACATCGATGAAAATCGACAGTTCCTAAACCATTTCGTGTCGCTTTATAAACTAATATCTATTTTTGTTTTCTATTCCCATAAAATTCATTTCATTGTTTCTGATGTTCAGGGTGGGTGTGAGTGTTGGTCTTTTTTTCACCCAAACCGTCATCTTTCAACTGTTGCTTCTTTTCATTATATAGTTCATTAATACGTTTATGACTCTCCAGAAGTCATCATTCAATTTGTTCGAAAGTATCAGGAGTTGGATCGAATTGAGTTCATCAGATAATGCAAGCAATTCAAAATTGACTTATTGTACATGTTCAATATAATGTTTTGTACAAACATTCATTTGATAACGATCATATAAAACATGAAAATCACCTTTACAGTTCTCAACTGAACATTTCAATGAGGTCATTTATAAATAATGTTGGATAGTTTGATCTAAACTTTTTAAAAATCAATATCAATTAGGAGAAATCGAATGGGATTATCATAGAAGACAAATTTGGCATTGATGAATTCATTTGTTCATGCTAACCGATAAACTTCTATATCGGAGGGTGTGTGGATGTGGATGTATTATTTATTAGATGCTTATTCCCACAACAAGATCCACACCCACACCCATGCCCACACCCGCACACCCATCTCTTTAAAATCACTCTCAAGATTATTTCATTCATCAAACGTTTTTATAGATAAAATTTCCATTATAAATATATTATTTCTTTACAATTTATTGTCCAAAATAAAATAATTCATTACAAACCAAA